TGAAGGAGCTGCGGGTTCTCGGGGTAGGGGGATCCTGCCTCGCCTCTCGCTGCCGGGGAGGGCGGCTGAGGGGCCGCCGAGCGCCAAGGCGGGGGCCGTGTGTCCGTTAGGCGGCTCTGGGGGAAGGGAGTGCTGCGTTCCCCCGCTGACTGCGGCCTGCTAGGGACGAGGGTGGCCCCCGAGGAGCCCCGGGCCTGCTCGGGCGGTTGAAGTGTGGGTCTGCAGGGGTTGAGGGGGTTGGAAAGCCCTCTCCTCCTTCTGTCTTGCGGTTTTTTGTGTGGTTAGGTGATTTCTAGCTAAGGAAAGTTCTTGCAGGTCTTGTGAAGCCGTTTGTAGTTGGAGCAGCCCATACACCTGTGAGAAAACAGCGCAGTTCTGGCAGCTGAGGTGCTGTGATGTCTCCTTTGCTTACCCAGAGAAAAAGCTTTTGGTACTGTAGAACTGATAAAAAGAGGAAGGAAACAAGCAGAAAACTTGGATTTGTGCCACACACACTTTTGCTGTGCAGAGTGAGAAGACATCCAGACTGGGCTAGTGGGAGGTGTCCCTGCCCATGGCAGGGGGTTGGAACTAGGTGGTCTTTAAGGTCCCTTCCAACCCAAACCGTTCTGTGATTCTCATGGCAGCTTGTGGGTGTGTTGTGACAAACTGAAATAAAGGAAACCAACCCCATAGATGAAGGCAAGCAAGCTTCTTGTGTTGCAGCTTCTCAGCTGAGAAACAGGAGCTGTTGGAAGCAAGCTAGGACAGATACAGGAGTGGAAGTCATCAAGGAAAGCAAAGTGAGCTTAGGAAAATATATTGCTGTGGTCTTTATTTATAACTTAATGCTGCTGCCAGGTCCACCAGCATTAAAATCTCATTTTCGCTTGTAAAACAAACAGGATAAATTCAAAAGAACTAATCTTTAAAGAGCTGAGGCAGAGGTAAGAATTGAGATAAACAGAAAAATCAATGTTATCAGCAACCCTGAAACTAATTTTCAAATGCATGTGTTCAGTAGGGCAAGCAGTCTGAATCTTGTAGCAGTAGTGTAAGTCATTATCTTACCTACAGAAAGAAAGGGGGGAAAAAAAAAAGGGAAGCAGTATCAAAGCATTTGGGTAGCGTACATGCACTTTACATAACTATCTGAAACTTACTAATGCTATATGACTACATGACTTCTAAGAATAAAAATGTAAACAATAATAGTGACTTGATTTTTTTTTAATCTAAATTTTGAAATAAAATATCATTTCTACACTGTGCTGTTACTCTGGCATACCTGTGGGTTGCTGCTCTGCATGTGGGTGTTGCCAGTGTAGGTCCCATCCCTTGGGTCCATCCTTCTGGTTTTGGGACTTTTCAAGGTAACCTTGTTATGGATATTCTTTCTGTAGCACTACCTCAATCAGGTATCAAGCATTTGTCAAAACATGTCTGTGTATGTATGCTAAGGGTTATCTTTGTTTCTCCTGCTGTGGCAGGACACCTTTCTCTACCACTCCTGAGTGGGCTGGTTGCAGTGGAAGAGCCTCCAAGTGAAAGCTGTGGGGAGGGGGGAAACCCTCAGGTGGTTTCTACTGAGGGAGAGGGAGGGGAAGTGAATGGACAGTTACTGTGAGTGCTAACTTTCTCAAAACCTTTGATGTTGTTGCCCAGAGGGGGCCTGTTATAATGGTTGTGACCTGTAACAAACACGGAGCTGTTTGTTGTGTTTCAAAGCTTCTATTTGCTATCCAGGCTCTTGGCAGGTCCCCTCAGCCAATACAGCCCTGTGAACTTGTGTTTGAACTTGCTGAACTGTGTTTAATTGAGTTTGTCCAGCTTTCCATTTTCATGAAAGCACAGGTGAAGAATCTGTATATTTTTTAGTCTATAAAATCAGTACTTCCCACTTTGGACAGAGTAGAGTTCTCCACATGTGTTTAGTGATGTGTTCACCTGTGTGGTCAATAAATCTACATCCACGTGTCAGGTGCCATCAAATGAACAGAGAGGTAATTCCAGAGTACTACCAGTTGTTGTTTGAACAGTCCTGGCTTATTGCCTACTGAGTGTGACTACTTGCAGCTTTTCAAAAAGTTTTGTGTTCTTAAAAAGGCACTGTGCATTTCTCCTGACAGCTCTTGGTCAGTGCTGGTGAAATATTCACAGGGATTCATCTTTGGTTATGCCACCATGAAAGGAAAACACTCTTTTCTCTGTACTTGGAAATAAAGTAGTGGAAGAAGCAGGAAGTACGTGTGATTTGTAATCCTATAGCTGCTCAGGAAGCATATGGAGTTAAAATGTGTGTGTGTGTGTGTATACTTATGTTGTTCCTTCTCAGACCTTGCTAAGAATATGGACTTAAGCAGGTGGATGTTTAATAATCTTGCACATCTGGGTGTTGAGTGGCCCTGACATGGCTGGATATTCTGCAGATATCTAGTCCTGACTGACAGCTTCGAGAACGTGATTGCCTTGGATTTTTTTTCTGTTAAAGCAACTAGTACTTTGGTTTTCTGTGAAGACCTATAGAGACTCCAGTGTCATAGTCTTCATTTGAAAGTGTTGATGATTATCTAAACTTAGTATTCATGAATCAGCCCCACTAGTCAGTATTTGTTTTATGTGACCAGGGGTGTTAAATTTAAATGAACATTGAACGTTCACAGCAATATTTGTTTTCTGTATTACTAATTCTGACTTTTTTTTTCCATGCATGACTGCTTGTGCTAAAGTCAGAGTTTCCTTATCGTAATAAACTTATGCATCTTGTCTCTAAGACAGAAGGAGTCCATAGATCTGTTTTAAATCAGTTCTTCACCCAGGGAGATGACAGGTGTTGAAAACCAACATGAAAGAGAGCAAATTATTAGAAGGATCAAAGGAATTTTTACTTCCTGACCCCAAAGTTTCTACCATTTTTTGAGGAATGCTGCTATCAGAGTGCGCATTGCAAAACTGTCCTGTGTTCTGTGAACTAAACAGCAGTCTGGTTACGGCACAGTCAGACGATCTGCTTGCTCTGGGGTTAAGAGTGCGTGCTGGCAAAAATGTATGTTGACAGGCACACGCTCATATATACATTATTTTTATGGCAGAGCTGTGTCTCTACTGGCAGCTGTCTTATGGTAAGACATTAATATCTCCATGCTTTAGACTGACGTAGCAATAGTGACGGATATCTGTAGCAAAGATCCGATCTGTAGGCATTAGCCACTAAATAAGTTGGGTTTTGGGAGCTATGAGAGCAAAACCATTTTTCTGTCTTGCTCTTTTGAGATGTGTCAGTTGAACTGTGCTTCTTTTTTGAATACTGCTTTTCAGGTATACGTTTTGCAGCAGGTTAGCTGCTGTTAAGCCTGTTACTTTTAGAGCCAGACCGTATTCATTATACTAACTTTGCAAAAGTCCTAATCAGTTCAGTGGTTAGAAAGTATATTAGCTTTCAAACCAGATGTGTTCCTTTCCAACTCCTGCTGTTACCTACGTACGTAAGTCTTTGAACACTAAGTATAGTTTTCCAAGGTACAAAACTAGTTATCTGTCACACTAACTATGTCCACTCACCTGACAGTCACTATGCGTAGCTTGCTCCCAAAAGCTACTGTCTGTTCTGTTCATTTTTTCCACATACGCTTAACGCCGTTCCCTTTATAGTAAAACACTCTAATACCTCTGCTATCTTGGTTGGATAACCAGTGCTTCGTGATATAATTTGAAATCGTTGTATATCGTGGATGAACGGGGAGAGGTTAAGCATAAATTACTCAATTTTCATTCCTTCCTGTATTTTTTGGAATAAATTGACCAAATAATACACATTAATTACTACATAGTGCTGTCAACGTACTAACTGTAAGATTTAAACTAACTGTATAGAAGTTAACTATACGGAAGCATTCAGATGCCAGGGCTTTGTGCAATGTGTGCTCATTCTGAAAATTATTAAGTGGTGGATAAGAACTCATTTTGAGTACAAAAACCCACAGTGCTGTTAAAAGTTATGCGCTTTCACAGCAAAATGCCAGTAATCCAGATGAAGTGCTATCAGGTTGCTTTAGAAACAAGAGTTTCTGGCCCCTAGAAACCAGGGAGAAAGTCAAGTGTCATTAAAGCTGACCTGTGTTCTGTATAAAACATTCTTATGTTTATTTCACATTTACTGTTATCCTATTTGTTAATGAAGGTATTAATTCTCTCAGAAGATATGCTTAACTACTATGAATATTGCAGCAGACTTGCAAAATCATCTATAAAAATAAACACTACCAGCAGAGTTTATTTGCTATAAACACTAAAATTGACTAAAGTTAATGTTTGTGAATACTTTGTAGAATAACATTGTGTTAGCAAACTTCCAGAAAGAAAATTGTTTGGGGTTAAAAGAAGAGTAGTTAAAGGATATTTTCTTTTAGGATACTGGGGAGGGAGTTATCTTCTCAAAAACTTTCAAACTAGACATTGAATGTAAGTTATATTTCCTATTCTGTTACTGAATAAAAACACTGGGTAAAATTATGTATTTTTGTCTGTCTACAAATAGCAATTCCGCTAACTGTTCTCATGTTCTGTATTTATTGTCAACAGCTGAAAAGAAATATGCCGGCATACTTGGCTCCTTGGAGGGCTTCTCCATGTGTCTTCAGATCCTCCAAATCGGAACTCATGCCGAATCTAGCCAGTGATGGAGTTGTCTGTGCTCCGCTTCAGACATTCACTGAAGAGGAGACAATGCTGAAAGATATGGGTACCTATTATCTGTGTAGTTAAAATCCAGAAATGTCTTATCAGAAGGGAAATTTTTAGCTTAAAAACTTATTTTCATTATTTAATTCTAGTTAAATGTTGAGATTGTTGTGGGGGATTTTGCTTAATTTTGAAGCTGCTTTATTTCACAAGAGTAAAATGTTCTTTTTCCATGTAGCCATGGCACAGTTCCACATACCACAGTGCAGTTTACTCTGCATAAGTAAATATTAACTGTTTAAAACTGTTGATGTCGCAGAAGTGAAGTTGCCTGGAGACAGGCCTGGCATTGACTCGTGCCCTTTCTAAAGAGTAACTGTAGTTCAGCTACAGTTAACTGCTCTGGCCGGTTTTTAGAGATTTCACGTATACCCAGATCGGTGACTGATGATGTGAGTGTCTGCCATGCAGCCTGGCCCGCATGAAGAAGGCAGTGTTTCAGAAGGAATCCTCAGAGGAAAGGTGAAAGAGCAACGACCTGCACATCTGGGAGAAAGCTTCTAAAAGGCTCCGGTTAAACAGAAACAGTTCTTATTTATAGGACTTTGTGCACTAAAGATAGCATTTGATAAAGCCTGAGACCATCTTCCCAAACTGCAGGTTGTAAAGAAGTAAGATACAGCTAACAATACAAGAGGTGTATTTGAAATATTTTCTATAATTTTTTTGGTCAACCAATGTTACATAAGTGTTTGAAAGCATAAGAGATGCTTTCAAAGTTTCTGAATTTATAGGAAGTATTTGTTTTGTTTTAGAGAGATGTAGCAGTGTTCAGAACTTGTTTCACTTGGGCAACTTTTTGTCCTTTTATTAACTTGTCTGAGAGAGTCAGGGAATACATGTGTAACCTGTCAGAAGTACCATGTGACTGTTACATTGATCTTCAAGGAGAATGTTAGAATACTTAGACACTTTCTTTCTTCTCTTCATTACAGTGACAAAATTTGCTCAAGAACGAGTTGCACCTTTGGTGCAAAAAATGGATGAGAATTCGAAAATGGAAGACTCTGTAATACAGGGATTGTTTGAACAAGGGGTCTGCACACTTTTACTTAATCTTTTATTCAGAAAGTGACATCATTTTATGAATCTGTGGCTGTGTACTTTTCAGATATTTAGATTAAAATGTTGAAGGATATAATTCAAATGAACTAATGAATCATTACAAATTTTGGATTTATCTTCAACAGGGCAACTTACTCTTTTTTACTGCATTATCACTCTCCATCTTTTCCTGTAATATTCTTTCCATCTCTTCCTCTCTCATACCACATTCTTTTCTGCATTGCTTACCTCCCCTCTTTTTTTTTTTTTTTAATTGGATAAGCAGAATTGCAGAGAATGCTAGAACTGGCATGAATCTCATAAGTGTTGCTGGGAAAGGGTGTCATGAGTCCTTTATGTCCTTACTGGGCAAACACAAGCAGTTGTGTTGCAGATATCACGGTGTTCATTCCTGGATTCAATTTTAGCCTTCCTGCTATCGAACCTAAAGCTTGTTCGTATTTAGAATGTCATTTTATACAATGACAACTCTAAATATTAGACTTCTGTTGAGGTTGCAGTTGTTGTGGAAAATGTAATCAAATTTGTCAAGGCAATGTTTGGCCCGTATACTGCATGTGTTAATTATTTCTTGCATGAATTGACTGTTGACTTCTGTGAAGAATTGTTAGTTTGTTAAGGGTATTGAGGGAAAACAGGTCTTTGGGGAAGGATCTGAAACTATTTACATGCTGTATTTTTTATTTTAATCTCCTAAGATTTCTTTTCTTGGACAAGTTGTTGATAGGAACTAACAAATTGATATATTTGCATCTTCTACATTTCAGCTGATGAGTATTGAGCTTGGGGAAGAATATGGAGGAACCGGAGCTTCGTTTTTTTCAGTCATACTGGCAGTAGAAGAATTGGCCAAAGTTGATCCAGCTGTAGCTCTTCTATGTGAACTCCAAAATACACTAACAAATAGGTTGTTTACCACATATGGAACAGAAGAACAAAAGAGAACTTACTTGCCCAGAGTGGCTAAAGATACAGTGAGTCAGATTCTCACTTTACTGAGCTATACTATAGTTTTTAATAGTGATGTGATGTTAGTGGGGTTTTTTTTCCCGTTAACAAAATGGGTGACTGCAGCACTGGAAAATGTGTGTGTGAACTTTGAAACACTGGTTAGAGCTGAGATCTGTGGTGATATAGATGTGTCCTCTCGTCAGTAGCTGAGGGGTAAAAGTGGAAAGGCACTTATTAGTTTAATTATCAGTTTACTGTGGAGAGGAACTTAGAGCAGTTGACTTAGAGAGACGTAATTACATAGTGATTCTATTCTTAATCTCCGTATCTGAAACTTAGTTACTTTGATGCAGTAGGTTAAAATGTTTGAATTTAAGAGACTTGTGCTTGTTTATAACTATTTTTGTTGCCGAATTTGTTGTATGTTGTGCCTATACGTTCAGTAAAAATTAAAATGAGTTTTTCCCTTCAACTGATAGGTAGGCAGTTTCTGCCTTTCGGAGGCTGGATCTGGCAGTGATGCTTTTTCTTTGAAGACTCGGGCTGAAAAGAAAGGAGACTACTATATTATCAATGGCTCAAAGATGTGGATTAGCTTCGCAGAACACGCAGGAGTTTTCTTTGTGATGGCAAATACAGATCCATCCTTAGTAAGTTGCTAAAGAATAGTTGTATTTCAGTGATAGCTGGTGATATATGAAACTATGGATTTTGTATTAATAATCTGATGTTAAAGGTTAATATTCTTTGCACCTTTTCCTAGCTGACAGAAAACATTTAAAAATATTTCCCAACAGAAAGTGAGAACTTGCTGAGCAATTTAATAAATTCGTCCCACCAGGGAAAATAAAAATGTCAGAATCATAATTGGTTAGATGAAGAGCACAGCATGCATTGCTATTATTCTGAGCAATGTAAGAACAGATAGTGTTAAGTCTTTCTAATCCTTCTGACTTAGCTAAGAAGTTGCTTGTGCTAAAGGCAAAATAGAGTTTAGCCTACGTGCACTGGAAAACTAACAAATATACCGTAGTAAAGTATGTTCAGGTGAAAAGATCCATAGCTGAACATGCATGTTTCAAGTTTTGTCACCAGCTTGGATATAGGTAGTAGATTCGTAAAAGTCAACTGAAGATTTTAAGATATATTATACCAATACAGTAGGATAATAATCAAATACAAAACTAAATTGTTTAAAACTTTTATTTATTTTTTAAACTTATTCCAGTGTCTCAGTCTTAAAAATTTAACTTGAAGATATTTATTTTTAAAATAAAAATTTTGGGTTTTGACTAAATAAGAAGAAGGGGTTTTCTTTCATTGTACTGCGCAGTTGGACTTCATGACATTTTCTGAATTTTTATTAGTTTCTTCACAAGCTGGTGGTTGATTTGTATGCTACATACAACGAAAATATATTTGTTAAACCAGTTTCTATATTTAACTGCTGTGCATTGCTGTACGATCTGGAGTTGTTTCCGTATTAGTGTAACATCTAAAAAATGTTGTCTTCTTAAAGTCAGAAATTTGCTTTTAAATATTCAAGAAGGAGATGAAAAGTAAATGCTGCTCAAAGATTAAATAACAGTTGACATCAGTTTAAATTATAGAAGATAGCAGTGTGGAATTATGTATTGAAATGTACACTCTGCACTAGCAGCTCCCGTTTGGTGAGAAGGGTTGTCACTGAGGTGAGATGGAAATAGTAGCCCTTCTCTTTAATAAGAGGCAACTCTTCCACAAGAACCACAGGATTTTTCCTGCTTCTCAGTGTCACCTCTTAGTGAGAGGAGGTGCAGTGGGCGTTAGGGACAGGAAGAGATGGAAACATGGCCAGGAACACCTTGCGTTTCTGTCTCATGGACTTTGTAGTATGTTGCGTAAGAGACACTGCTGTGGTTCTGACCAGGGGAAATGCTGAAGGAACAAGAGTGAGTAGTGGAGAGGAGAGAAAAATTGCAATAAGAATTACATGGATGGAGAAAGTGACAGCTTTATCAGGTATCTGTACTTAAAGCATCTAGTTTAAGCCTTCAAAGATGTGAAGGTTTTAAGCCTGTGTGTAGGAGATGCCAGAATTTAGACTGGCTATACAGTCTGTCTGTTGTGACGTGCATTATTTAGTCGCCTGTCCAAATCATGATCTGAATACCAAATGAACTCTTTGAGCTTTCTGGTCACAACCATCATAATGATTTCACAGTACTTTATGAAGTATATTCTCGCTGCCTCTCTAAAGTGAAGAGACGGTGATATCCATGTTCTGTAAACTGGAATCACAAGCAGAATGTGTGCACCAATTCGGGGTGTTAGATTACGTCTGTTATAGTACAATTATACTGCACTTTGAATATTCAAGCACAGTTCCCAGTGACACCAGTCTCATCAGTCAGTGCTTTTACTTTGGACAACCTTAAAAGGAAGAGCTACTCTTCCAGAAGAGTAGCTGAAGTAGTTGGGCTTAACTAAAACCTTGCATCCTATAGAATCATCTAACAGGTTTGTTTAGAGCCATTATTCATTTGACCACTTTAGTCTAAAGATACCCTACTTATTCTTGCAGTCCATTGTTTGATTGTGACCTATGGTCCAACAGCAAGCAGTAACTTTACTACCCAGCAATAACTTGCTTTCCCAGTGATTTCCAATTAGATAGGCACTACAGTCCTGTTTCATTTATATAATACCAGTCTCCTGTCATGTCAAGAGAACTTTTAAGATTGTTCTGATTATGTTTTCCACATGGAATATTTTAATATAAAGCTATCCCTGGACTTCGTTAAACTGTAATTATCAGACAGAGGGAATAGATGATGGTGCCAGTGTTTTATTTAGTAATATGGTATGAAGCAGGTGTAAAAGTTTAGTATTGTAATGAGATGTTAGACCACCATTTGGTGATATTAGTATAAAAAACAGTTCTTGATTATTTTTAAATTCATCCTAGGGGTACAGGGGAATTACGTGCTTCGTAGTAGATGGCAACACAGAAGGACTACATGTAGGGAAGAAAGAGGACAAGCTTGGAATCAGAGCATCTTCCACCTGCCCAGTAACATTTGATAATGTTAAGGTATTGTAAGTTTAGCTATTGAAGCATAATTTGTGTACAATCAGAGCTTGACCACATATAAAGAAAGAATGTTAACTACATTTCTTAATATTTTATCCTTAGACATACTGTTTGTTTAGCATATTTTAACTTTTTCTTCCCTATTCTTTCACAGAAGTTTTGAGGGGGGTTGGGTTTCTTAAATTTCAATACTGTTCTTCTCAATCATCACTTTATATTCGCATGTATCAGGAAATGTTCTAACCAGATATTCTAGGAATCAGATATCTGGTTTATGTTTTATGACTTTACTTATGAGGAACATTAAATAAAACACATACACTGATTCACCTGTGAACCCTACTAGCAGTTGCAAAGCAGAATAGAGAAGGAGTAATTGAGTGATTTTATTCTTTAGGTTCCTGAGACCAATATCTTGGGACAGGTTGGACAAGGCTATAAGTATGCAATTGGAATGCTAAATACCGGCAGAATAGGTATTGCTGCACAGGTGGGTAATTTTGGTTAGTACTGAATACAAAAGGTATATAACTTTGAATTTGGATTTAAATTTAGAAAATATTTAAAACTGATAAAAATAAACTATTTAGAAAATACTTTATTAAAAACTGAATTGCCACTAGATGTCACTATTCCTGTATCTAAGTTAGAGTAAAATGCTGAAACAACTGTAAATGGTAGAATTCTCCTTCAGTGACATAAGCTTTTGAATAAGATTTTAAGATTTTGAAAACATTAAATGGAAATTAGTTTGTCTTTGATGGTTAACTTATTGCTATTGAAATATATCAACATTTTTATCTCCATTATGCAAATTTATTTTACAGAAAAAACTAGCGTTGGAAAATGTGATTTTATGGAATTGCCAGACGTGACCTTATGCTAACTGATGTTTTCCCAACACCTTATTTTTAAGTCAACTTATTTTCTAAATAAATATGATTTTTTTATATAGTTCTGGTATCTGATTATACAGCTAATTAGCAGCAGACTGCATTGTTATGTTGTTTTCCCACCTACCCATTTTCCTATGTATTGTGGGTTTTTTTCTAGAACCTTAAATGGTTAAGGAGTAGATGTCTGAACACAGTCAGAGTCATGTTTTTATCTTCTTAGGGGCCCTTGGCTTTCAGCTTAATATGCAAGTCTATCCAAAAGTACCCATTGTACATCATTAAAAGTAGTTTGACATAAGCTGCTTGATGTGACAGCTGACAGCCATGTTGTAGTGTCCCATCTTGACTTAGAAAAGTTTTATGAGATTCCAATTTTACCATATATTTTACCTTGATTTTTGATAATTCTTCATGTCATTAATTTTCTTTTTTTTTTTTCCTTATTTGATGCATCTCTTAATCTGATTCCCTATCTTTGTTTTCTCTAGGAGAGAAACTAGGTAGAAAAAAATGCATTCAGATGGATGGTAGTTATATAATGAAAATAATTGATCTTTTTTAATAGCTATGTATTTCAAGGTATGTGAAAGGCATGGTCCTTTCTTTGCTGTCTTGCTTGAAATGGAATACACTTCTCAAAATTTGGTAGTTAAATGTAAAACCAGTTTACTTTCCAGATTTCATAGTGTTTCTTTAGGCTAACAAATCAGACACTAAGGTAGATGCAAGTTACTTCTTCATGAATATATGTAGTTTTCCCAGATGTATCCTCCAAGATAACAACTGTGTTTTGCTTTCTGCTGCTGAGTGAAGAAAGTGTGTGAAAAGACAATGAATCTTCTAAAATTATTCTGTTGAGTTAGTTTTTTTATTTCTAGAAAATGCTGGAGCAAATGTTATCTCTCCTGCCGCCATACTGATTTTCTAAGTTCTGAAATAAATTGCAAATTCTGATAGTTTAGTGTCTTCTATGAAATGAAAAAGTATTTTTATTATTAAAATAGCTTTGAATAGTCATTCAGATTATTTTTCCTTGAATAATGTAATGTAGATCTATAGATCTTTAGTTTACAGTAATTTTCCCATGTAATTAAGAAACGCTTAATATTTGCCCAACCACGGCTGATCCATAAGTTTTGTTCAAAAATTAGTGCTAGTGTTTTCACACATCTTGCTTTTAGTAAGAAAGTTTCTTTCAGGAATGGAACAAGATGGAATAGGCTTATTCCTCAAAGTTTGATTTTTTTTTTTTCTTCTTTTTTTCTTTTTTTTCTTCTTTTTTTTTCCCCCCTAACTCACCTCAGTATGTCTTATTTCTCACAGATGTTAGGTCTGGCACAGGGGTGTTTTGACCATACAATTCCGTATACAAAGGAGAGAGTCCAGTTTGGGAAAAGCGTATTCGATTTCCAGGTACTTGTTAATGAACACATGGGAAATTTGCTCCAAGAGAGTAGTAGTTACCGCAGTATAAGTCAGTAACATGAGTAATCTTTGTTGCATAATTTGTGGTCCACCTTGTGTCATGTCTCTACTTCCCAATATTTGAGAAGAATTTTTCTAAAGAATTTCAGGTGAGCATTCATCAACCACATAAAATATATCTATTCAGTGATGTGTGCCTTTGCAAGTACCATACAAATAATTTAAAACTTCAAAACATTATTAACATAACTCCTTTTGCTTGATAGTATATTCACTGCCTCTGAAAATAATATACATGGAACTCCTTTCTCTTTTGATTTTAATATCACAGTATGTTGAATGTGTTCCAGTTTTCATACCCTTTCATGAGATCTAGGGGAAGGCCTTTTTCTGGAAACACTAGAAATTATAAAAAGATGAAGAAAACTGATTGAATTATTAGATTTCCTGTGTTATACAAAGACATTTAGTTTTCATGATAATATCTGTATCTTAAAATGAAAAGGACTCTTTGTTGCAAAAATGATGTAGAGTTTAATAAGGAAGAAATATAATTGTAATTACTATAGTAATTTTCTTGTTAAAAGAAATCTACCTCTCGGATGAAGGGAAGGAACATTAGTACTACTCATAATTTATACAAATTTTAGGAAGCACCCTCAGATATCTGGGAAATTATTGAAAGTGTGTCTTTTGAATGGGAAATGGAATTTATAATTGCCAAATCATTTTGTTATTTTGACCTGCATATATATATTTTTTCAAATTTTAGTGAGTGGTGTTAATGTTCTAATAAGATGAAAGATTTCATTGTGTTCTAGGAGCAAGTTAGGCTACTAAATGTTCATTTTCAGTCATCATAATGTTTGGGTCTCCTTAAATAAACCTATTCTTCTGTAATAACTACCATTTAGATGTGAGCTCCATTACCTTTTTCCTTCCCTTTGAATCCATCCATCAGTCATGTTCTCTATACTTTTATGCTGCTCCTAACTCTTGTCTTATGGCTATGGGACATGGAAAGAACTGGTCATCACCTTGCTAGTTCTCCACTTTATTTAAGAGGTCCTTTTTTCAAGTCTTTCTCAGTTAAGCTCATCAGGGAACTAGACTTGTTAGTGGATGAATGTTCTCAATAGACAGCTGCAAAATAAAAATACAGTTTTGACCTACCTGTGTCTCTGCCGTGCTGAGGAGAACGTTAAGATTTTTCTGAAATTTTCCTAAATATTCATGGGTGTGGATAGGTTCGTGTTGAACTCCCCTGTCCAACCAGTCAGGCAAGAAGTTCCCCAGTACTCCTGCATCCAAGAAGAAGGAAGGAGAACATGGGAGTGCAGTTCCTAAAGGACTTTGGTGGCCCAGAGGTTTACCAATGTCAGTGTCATAGATGCAGAGATGTGCAGATTTACTAGCCCACCTAGATTTTGTATTTTAGAGTGTAGGTATGTTCCTTGGTGAAAAGAATCGTTCTTGATAGAAATTCCAGTTGAGTACTAGATACTGGTTCTGTCTGACTTGTGGCATGCTTATTACAGGGGTTGCAACATCAGATTGCTCAGGTGGCCACGCAGTTGGAGGCCGCGAGGTTGCTCACCTACAATGCAGCCCGTCTTGTGGAAACAGGGAGGCCGTTCATCAAGGAGGCAAGCATGGCCAAATACTACGCTGCTGAGGTAACTTGCAGTTTCTTTATTCAGTGGATTTATTTCACTGCTGAATGTGTAACTTCCAATTCACGTTTTGCTGTGAGATCTCTGGATGTACTTTTACCTCGTTTCTCATTCTCAGTCCGTCCATGGAATGTAAAGTGGGCCATCAAAGAATGAACTGCTCATGCCCCTAAATAAAATTTTGAAAAACAGGCAACAACATTAAAAGAGAAAGTGAATTAGTATTTTCAGTCATCTAGGGAGATTTCATTTTATCAGAATTCTCTTGTGGCTGGAGAAGTGGCATGGTGAGACTGTTGTCTCTCTTGTGACCATTATAACTCTGCTGGTCACAACTGTATGTCTTAATATGATTCAAAACTGGATTGCTGCTGCCTCTTTGTAATTGATGTCTTGCATACTGCTGCTAGTCTTGTTCATGGTGCAATATGTGAACTATTGCAGTAACTGTTACTGAATTCTTGATGTGCTCTGACTTAGAAAAATGTTGTTTTTATTCTAAAATAACTTGCATAAATAAGATGAATTCAAAAATATCAGTCCTTCCTCTTCCCACATGTTCTAGTAACTACTTTAATTGCTGGGTTGTTTTTTTTTTTTACTTTAAATAGCTACAAAGAATAAAATGTACTACCACCTGGATGAAGTTGAATTCTGAAACTGTACCTCTGAAACTCTTTTCATAGGTTGCAACACTGACAACTAGTAAATGCATTGAATGGATGGGTGGTGTTGGATTCACAAAAAATTATCCAATGGAAAAGTACTATCGTGACTGCAAGATAGGTGAGTGATAGTTTTGTAACGACTATTTCTTGTAGCATTAGTAGTATTAAAGTTTGGGGATGACTGACTGGCTATTTTTTAAGATATTTTTTCTGTGAGACTGTCATCAAAACTTATTCAAAAGCTCAGGTATAAGAGTGTAAAACTTTACGTATATATATGTGTGTATGCAAGGCTAGTTAAAATGTTTAATTAGTTACCCATAAAATGCAGACACACACATTGTGTCCCATTCTATTAAGAAAATCCCAGTTAAAAAAAAAATTGAAAATACTTTATTTGGCTTTAAGATCTGAATCTGTGTGGAGTTTTATTTTCCAGGCTTCTTTGTTTACCAGTATGATCCTCAGACCTAACAGTTTGACATTTCTAACAATATTACCCTTTGACTTTTATTGCTGATAGCATTTGTAAATACTTAATTTTTATTGGTTATTTAGAAATTGCTTTTCAGGAAAATGTCTTGTCATTACGTTGTACCACCAGAAGAGTATTTTAAGGGTTGCAGATAAGCAAATATGAACATTTATGTAAATAGTAATTCTGTTTCTAGAACTTGCTCAGTAAAGCTTCACTTCACAATTGTAAATGCTCTAACTGGACTGTTAGAATGATATCTTGGTCTCTCTTCATATACTCACTGTGGGTTTTATAGTCTTCTAATTTATTTTTTTCTGATTTCAGGTACAATATATGAAGGAACTTCAAATATCCAGTTGAGCACCATTGCAAAAAGCTTAGCAAAGGAGTACTGAAACCATAAGGACTTCCTGACTGTTAATGGAAATTATTTCACTGGACACTCATTGTGAATTACAGATTTATTTGTAATTATAAAAATCGTAAACAAGAATACATCATCAGAGACAGAATAGCAAGGAAAACCAGGAATTCTGCATTTCAGGACAGTGAGTGTGTAATTCATGTGAAATAATGAATTCCATGTTCAAAACCACATCATGAGTTAAAAGTATCTCTTTCTACCTGAGGCACTTTTAAGCTAACACATTGGCTGAAATTAATTTGTTGCCTTACATTATGCAAACAGTGTAATCTCCACTTCTGAGATTTCAAAATGAAAACAAAAGAAGCCAAATCTTTGGTTTGGCTGGTGTGAAAGGTTCTGTTAAGCCACCTGGGAGAAAAGATTATAGGTGCAGCGGAATTGTTGCATGTCATGAAGCTGCGGTTTGTTCGTGGTGCCCTGTATTAGCATGGGGTACAGGAGAGGTATGTGGAAAGAGATAGAAGTGATGGTTTCCTCTATCCCAGGTGGAGTGATGTCTGTGGAGCTGCTGTAATTGGAGTAATTTTTATAGCAGCCCTTAGTGTGTTCTTAAGTATATCTTGGTAATTAAGCCCTTCCAGCCCCAATTTGTAGTACTGAAAGGTGGATAATATCTACCTCCCTTTCTAGCCTTCTCAGCTGTTAAGGGTTTTAATCTAAGAGCCTATTTATAGTTCTCCTTTCATGAAAGGTTGAGTTGAAATCTTTGTGAAATGGGGTTAAAAAAGCTCTAGTAGTTCTGCAAAAAGACGGATATAAGCTAGGTAATAGGAATGCTGTGATACTACCTCGCAGTGGCCTTTCCATGTTCAATGCATTCTACAAACTAATCCTCACAGCCTTCCTGGGAGTTAGGGAGGGACTGTTAATTTGTAGTTTAGAAAACTCACTCATGGAAGTTAGTGGTTCTCTACAAAAAGAGCAAAGTTTTTTTCCCTTTTGAGAGAAAGAGAAGGGGGTTTTGAGAAGTATTTGCTTTTTTTTATCCCTCCCTGTTTACTCTAAAATTAGACATTTTATTTATTGCAGAAACCTCTTCAGTGCTGGAGAACTAAACTAAGAATCAAGAGACACAAAGCTTAATACATGAAAAATTATTATAATTCCTGTAATTGGCAATTTGTTTCAAGTGTTTTTGGGAGGGAAGGATTGATTTTCTGGTTTTAGCTGACTCAGAAGAATCTAATTTTTAAAGCTTGCTAGTCACTGATGATTCACTTCAAGTGGAGCTGAGAATGTTACAGCCCAAGACTCTCAAAGGATTTTCTACAAAAACTAGGGTAAATTACACTTCAGTGTGATTTCGTAAAACAAGCAGACTGCAGTGCCTTATACAAAGAAACAAGCAAGGAGGAAAAGCACTGTTAAAAAGTTTTCTGACTTCAAAGGGAAGTAACTCGTTTAGTGAATTACTCCTCCCCACATACACACTTTGCCTGTTGATAGGTGAAGAATTAGTGTGGTAATTATCCATATGCCAATAAAAAAAACCTCTCCCATATCAGTTTGATCAACAGCTTTGAGATTTTCAAAAATACAAGAGTAGAAGAGTAGACTAGATGATTTCTGAAGTTTTCTTCTAGCATTATTATTAGCATAATCATCATCATTATTATTATCATGATTAACGCATTTCAGGTTGTTTGCAGGCTTTCTTTCTGCTGAATTGAAACAGCTGGAGAGATTGTTAGACTAGAATTAAGACTGCAGGCACCATAACAGTTAACTACAGTTATTTTGCTCAACGTAGTCTTGTCTGTGAGTCTAAAATTATCATAACTCCAGCATTTTGTAGTATGGTTAACGATGAATGTAATGAGTTGTGCTAATGTGAGGCAGACCTTAGCTGCTGCAGTTTAGTCTGCTTTGCTAACATGAGCGTCAGCAGAGATCCGGTTTTGTAGGTCAGTTTAATAGGTCTCCTAGTTTGAGGTACTGTCTTAGCTCGGGTTTTGTAGTTTTGCATAAGGCTCGGAAGTGAGTTACAATGCTTAGCTGACTTAATATAGTGCTGAAAGCAAACTCTTTGTGGAGGAGAGTGCAGAGCTCTTTGAAGGACTGTTAAAGGCTAGATATCCAGGGTTATGTGAAAGGACTGTCTCTTTGTGTAGAACTGTCAGGTATCCATTTGAAAAAATAATCAGGAAAAAATCAAAATAATGTTATTTCCAACAGTCTGAACTTGGATGCCATACTGCAGGAAACAACCTGAATGGCCTCATCAGCTACTCAACAGTTCTTCTCAAAAATGCAATGTCAAGCCTTTAATACTACGGTTGTAAATATTTCACGTATCTCGGTTCTGTATGCTGTATTCTATACACAGTAACTTTTAAAAAGAAATGTATGTATTGTATTTGATTTTTGTCTACAAAATTTTGTGGAGGAATATGCGCGCAAATGATTTATAACCATTGAGTTTCTTTCATTATTGTTTTAAAAGGGCATGTACCACTCCGGAGACCACTAGGTATTTTAGTTGCCAACTCTGGGAAAAGTTAACTTGTTTCATCCCCTTCAGTCTGATTCCATTGCTGCACTAACACAGACATGGGTTTAGTAATAAAATTACTGCGCCGTTGTCCAGGAGCTGTTAAGCTTCCCTCACCCTGTTCAGTTTGGGACAGGCATTTACAGATTGTCATGAATTGCATTTCTCCGTTTGGCACCGTGGGCGTAGGTCTGTTGATGGTGGCTGGCTGCACCAGTAGGTGTAGGGCTGCAGAGCTGGTGTTGTGAACACTGTGCTAATGACAGGACTCAAAGCCGCTTTATACACAATATGTGTATATTCTTCCCGGTGAGGGTGACAGAGCACTGGAACAGGCTGCCCAGAGAGGTTGTGGAGTCTCCTTCTCTGGAGACATTCAAAGCCCGCCTGGATGCGTTCCTGTGTGATCTGATCTAGGTGTTCCTGCTCCGGCAGGAGGATTGGACTAGATGATCTTTCGAGGTCCCTTCCAATCTCTAACATTCTGTGATTCCGTGATATTAGTGAGTTTTCCCTTTAATTGCCTTAGTCCAGTCAACCTAGGCTATTGCCCTCGAACGGCATCTTCAGTATCAAATGTATCTGGGCTTCCCCAGTTAGAAGAAAAGACCTGTATTGAGAATGTACTAAGAAGTGCCTGAATGATATTAGTGAGTTTTCCCTTTAGATGCCCTTAGTCCAGTCAACCTAGGCTATTGCCCTCGAACGGCATCTTCAGTATCAAATGTATCTGGGCTTCCCCAGTTAGAAGAAAAGACCTGTATTGAGAATGTACTAAGAAGTGCCTGAATTTTATATTTTACTTCATACAATGCTAATCTTGTATATCAGGTGATGGCTCTATAATAATTTGTCATTTAAAATTTTTCCCAGATCTTGCAATTTTTGTACTGGGAGAGAATGACTATATCATCTGTCAGGTTTCTTTAGTATTATTCTGGTTTGCGATAAAGGTCTGCAGCAGATTTCCATGGAAAGGTTTAATAGCTACTTGAGAAGTACTCAAATACAACATTTTATGTCATGTTTTCTATGCTGTTGTTCTTTCTTCCATATTTTCTTTTCCCCATATAAAGATTGTGTTAGAAAAGGCTTCTGTGAAATACAAAGTAATTGTTCATTGGGAGCTTTTTGCTATGTAAAGAATTTTCTAATTAACATGTTATTGCATTTCCATTTGGAAATCTTTTGGTGAGAGACACATTTCAAGTTCTTCCTACCAAGCTAAGTTCGATTTGAAACAGTCTGCTTTGAAAGCAGCTGTCTGACTTTCCGGAGCTTGCTTATTGAATACACAAAAGCTGAAGACACCTTTTTCCCCGCTGTGGTGGATCTTCTCCTAAGAGAATTACATGAAAGTGGTTAACACCTACCACAAGTACTTTGTAAATAGTTAGTTGTTACGTTATCTCTGTGCAAACTCTTGGCAGAGGCACAAACCAAGTGAGAGCTGACAGGCAGATGAATGCATATTGTACAATTCCCAAATAATTTTCCTGTGATTTGTCATGTTTTATGTTGTATTGAAATAGAGTTGTTGCAGAGTGTTTTGTCAAGAGTTGCCTCCTCCTCTGAAGTGTGACTCCTTGGTCTAGGTCCAGGTGAGAGAGCATGGCTGGAATCCTAAAGCTACGTAGCATGGTCAGCTGTACACAGCAGGTGGGAGAAAGCAAGAGTTCTTTCCAAGCCCACACCAGCGACAATCAAACATCAATGTATAGTGAATCCAGAGTTCCAGACTAACAAATGGGAGTTGCAATCATTATTTCAGTTAAATATGCCAGTTACAAGATCAGTTGCTGTAATTAATGAAATCCTGCTTAGCAGCATTGAGGGAATTTCTCATTATCTGACACTGGAGACATTATTAAACTGCTTTAAAATCCTGGTGTTTATTATCCCCTAAAAATGTTCTGTTTGTATGCAATAACTGTCTAATACATTAGGTAACTAGAACTAACCAGTGTGTTTCCTAATAGCTTGTTTCATAGATCAGAGCATTCAAATGTTGATTCATATTGGTACATTAATTTTCAAAAAGCACATGCAATGTACAATTTAACATTTTTTTCTGATAAAATATTTAAAAGTAGAAATAAAAAAAATGTAGTCTCAATAGGCGGTAATAGCATTTTTATGTATTCTGTCTTTCAAGATCCTTGGGATTTACATCTTTCTAAAACTGTTCTTCCTCTGTGTGTCTTACTACCTGTAGAGCTACTAATACTGGAAGACTATACACATAAAAAAATTGCAAGGTGACTTCACTAAAGATCCTTGCTCCTCACCTGATGGAAAACTGTGTCTCAATAGCCAAGTAACCAATGCTTTCAGAACTGGATTTCTTTAATAGAAATTCAGAGGCCTTCTGAACACACAGAAAAATATGTTCAAACATTTTGCAGGGATCTCTGAAGGAAAGCTATTACAAGTTGTACCCACTCTTACATTAAAAAAAAATAAAATCAAATAGCAACAATAAAATCTAAAATACAGCAGTAATTCCTCAACTTCCATATTGCAAGTTTGCATATTTGGGGGTCACCTAGCCAGGAAA